TTTACTTTTTATTTATTTTTATTTTTTTTTTTTTTTTTTTGTAAGTTATTGTAATAGATTGTATCAATTAAAACAAATATGAAGTTTAAACTTTTTGACTTTTAAAAAATTTTGAAATTTTATGTATCCATTCCTACGTAACATTGTTTTACATAATGGCTGTAAAAAGTACGTACATTTATTTTCCAATTAAATCTTTTTATCAGGTTTTATATTTCATCTTCATAATATTAAATTTTTATAATTATATAAAGATATTATTAAATGATAAGGAATTTTTGCAATTAAATATACTGTACGTAAATGAAATTTAAATAAAATAAATATAGTATATTTGGATCTAGTAGTATAAGTAGTATAAATTTTATACTAAATATAATAAAATGTGCAAATACTTTTTATAGCCATTTTATAGAAATAGAATAGTTGATGATTTATGTTTTATGTTTTTTGTTATTATTCTTGTGCCGTCTTTTCTTTGTACAATATCGCGTAAGTTAGTTAGAAATTAGAAAGAATTCATCAGGGCCTATACCGTGCTTATACAAGTTTTTAATTAATTACACTTTCGATCGAGCGAAAGATTCTTCCCCAACGCGCAGCTAATAGTTGCGTGTAATAGATTTAATAAGGATACAAAACAATACACATAGTATATTTTGTTGAAAGAGATACACCGTGTCCTGAATATTTTTGTTGATATAGAAAAAAAGAAAAAAAAAATTGGAACGGTGGTCTACACACGCGCGCATGCGCGCGTATACCACACACCACACATTACACATCACACACTCACACACACACAACACACACACAGAGTGTGCAAAAGAAGAGAGCGAGCGCAAATGAGAGAGAGAGAGAGAAAGAGAGCAAATGAAACTGATCTAGTCAGTGTATTATCGTGGCGGCCTTATCTTTTGTATGTCGTAGCGTTAATAACTTAAGTGTTCCAAAAAATATGGATAAAGCGTTGAATAATAGAACAAAAGTGAATACTTCATAACTTCTGTTTGAAAAATTTATTATACAGTTAGTCACAAAAATCTTAAATTAATTTCAGATGTAAAAAGATAACAAATTTCATCTCAAGTGAAATTTAGTTGAAAGTAAGTTGTGTTATTAAAAGTAATAATAATCTTATTTTATTGAAACTTTGTGATTTACATATAAAACATTGAAGAAGATCAATTCTTAAGTTTTTTTTTTTTTTTTTTTACTTTTTAAATTTAATTATTATTACAGAAAGAAAGAGAACAAAATTAAATATATGAAATATTCATTCCTTGTCATAAGTATTTCAAAGAAAAGTGAAATTGTATTCGAAGAATGAAAAAATGATGGAAATGTGAGAAAGATAAAAATTTTTGCATTTTTTTTTTTTTATTAAAATTAAATGAATTTTCTTTTGTATAAAGATTTTTGTGACTGATTGTAATTATAATCATTAATAAAACGCGAACGAGCGAACCATTGGAAATATTGTTTCATTGATTGTTTGTCGGGGAAGACAATTGAATGAGTGAATAAGTGAATAAGAATGGTTGAATATTTAGTTAGCGTAAGAAATCATGCGTGCATATCTCTTGTTTGCCTCCTCGAATTTGTAACTTTGTCGATGAAATATTTAGTTGTGTAATTGAAGTTTGTAGATTCAGAACTTAGCAAGGCAGAGAAATGAATTCAAGGTGGCATGCAAGGAATATTATTTTGCCTTTCTTCGGTTAAAATTTTCTATTTTGAATTTCTGAAAGTTCATTTTCAATATATTGAAATTCTATGCTGCTTTTCTATCTATATAAAAAAATTTTCTTCAATATTAAAATTGTAATATCGGAATTTAAGTCGATAACTATTCAATTCAATTTTAAAGAAACGCATTAAGAGTTAAGGTTAGGAAGTTTTATGAGGTTAGAAACTCTACCAGATAGATATCTAAAAACAGATCTAATTTATTTTTCCTAACAATAACATATCACAAAGAAAATAACAAAAAGTTTAACTTTTTTGCATATATTACAATTTGAAATATTAAATAGAATATTTTAATTAAAGAAAGCATATTCTCTTTTACGCAAATACGGTATCCTTATAAAACTTTCAATAAGTATCAAATACGTTTTCTATATATTCTGAATTCTTTTTTCAATTTTTTTATTCGTCATAAATTATCTTCGATTCTATTGAAATTTGTTTTTTTAAAGAATACTGCGTATGGGTATCGAAGAACGTAGATTTATTTGGGATTAGCTATTTCGCGTATCAACCGCGAAAAAAATCGTTTCGTCGCCCTAGTTGCGGGACGAGTCGAACCAAATTTCTATTAGGATAATAATAATAGGCAACTATACCTTTTTACTTGTCAGAGTTCGTTCACGGGTTCTATTTGATAAGACTGCGTGTTTGTTAAATATGTATGTAAGTAGTAAGTTGTCGATAAGTTCGCAGTCCCTCCTTCTTTGCCTAACGGAGTGCACTGTCAAAGCCAAGATGATTTTTTTTTTTTTTCGTTTCTCTGTCGAGCCGATACGAAAATAACGTAAATACACGTTACATTGCATGATGCTTTTCATTTTCATGAGCCATTCTCTTTAATTAAAATATTTTATCTGTTACATAATTATTATTATTTTTCGTTTTTCAATTATAATAATATAATATTTATATTGTGTATGATATAGATGTTATATTGACGATATATAAGATATTTTGAAATATTTAATTTCAACTTTTAACTTATTAATTTTATTTTAGAAATTTGTTATCTTCTGTGTAATTACAATGAAACGTGATGGTTTCGTTGGAGAAATTAACAATTTTATAGCTCGAATTTCGATTAGAATAATTTTGACAATATTTTTAAGTTTATAAAAACTTATAAACTTTAAAATATAACTTTTTTTTTTCACATGACGAATATATCTTTGTCATAATAAAAAATTGTCAAAAATTTCTTCATAACTTCACCCATTAATAGTCTATGATTTTTTTAAATTATTTTTTTCTAATAAGGATTCAGCAAAGAAAATGATAGAAATTTAGATTTTTGATTTATCTTTCAAAATGCTAGATAAAAAATTTTTGATTAAGAAGAATAGCGCATGTATCATCGATCGGCGTGCAAAATCCTTTTTCAACGTTTTAAGTCTTCCCACTTGTCAATGAAACAAAAAAAATACGTACCTGTTGTTTTTGTATCGAATCGATTTTTATAGAACGATGCGTTCAATTTCGACGCGTCAATCGGTACCTGAAGAAAACGTAGAAGCAAGGACTGCGAATGGGTTATTTTTAAAATAGTCGCGGACATATCAGGAGTGGGCATATCCTGAAAATTGGTTGCTCGTGAAAAATGGAGTTTAGAAAAGAAAGAAAAAAAGAAAAAAAAGGAAAGATGTCTGCTGCGTGTGTGTATGCATACATATGAGAGAGAGAGAGAGAGAGAGAGAGAGAGAGAGAGAGAGAGAGGAGGAGAGAGAAGAATAAGTAAGTAAGTA